CTGCTTTCGAAGGTTTAAATTATCGCTTCGTTACTGACTTTACCTACCTGCATATCACGATAATACTATTTTATACTTTTTATAAGAGAGCAAAGAACTCAAGAGTTCCAAAAATTTAAGACCCGGACTCATCCGGCGAGCAAATCCTTTGGCATTAAAATCAGATCATTACAAAAATGTAAATTATACCACTAATTAATTATCTCTTAGCCAAATTAATACTATATTTTTCTTGCAAGATAAAAAGAGAATTTTATCCGAACATTATACACTTTAAACTTTATTTATTTAATAATAAAATATTAATTTAGCAAAACTACTGCATAAATCAATCACTAAATAGTTTATTTATTCAATTCAATAATTCTTTTTTCACTCTTTCCACTGATTTTCTACAATATTTTCAGCCAAAGCAAGAAGACTAGAACCAGGAGGTGAAACTTCCACGCTTTACCGCAGTGAGTAGTGGCATGGTAAGCGTGCACACGGTGGGCGTGTCGTTTAAGTTCGTGCACTGCTAATAGAACGAATTTACGAATTCTGCGCATACTATCCATGTAGGTTTTGAAGGGGAAATTTCGTAGCAAGCAGCTGCAAATGTTTGCGTCTGCTTGGTTAGGTAAATTATATAATAATAAAATGCTTGGTCTGTCCTTCTGTCCTAACTTGAAGTTGGCCTTTTCTGATTTCACGTGTTTTTTTGAATAGTAATCTTATGACGTGTCAAATTTTGACAATTCTTTTTCTTATTTTTGCCAAAGTTGTATAATTGTGTTTCCAAATTTCGGAATAAGTTTCTTTAAAATTCCAAATTCGAAAATTCAATTCACGAAGCTGAAGTACACAACGTTTACCAACGAAATTCTTTTTAAAGTTGTATATTGATTCAAAAATTGTACAAAAAATGTATGATGAGAAAAAAGATGCGCCAGGAAATTTCGTATAAGATAGTAATTTGAAAAACATTTATTTTTAAAAATTAATTTTTAAGGTACCAGGTGCCAACGAATACCTATTAAATATTAATTATAAAAACACAGGCCTCGAATCAACTTAAAGACACAAAAAAGTCGTTTTAGTCGATTTATATTCCAAAAAAAAGTGGATTTGTTTTTTATTTTAACAAAAATATTTTACAGATTTTTAAATAAAATTTTTTTTTTTTTTAATAATAATCCTTTTCGAAGGGTTAAAATTGAAATTTTTAGAAATAATTAAATTTCAAAGATATTGTTAATTTTCAAACAATTATTAAATTTTCCAGAACTGAAAATAATTTATCAAACAATTTTTGGAAAACATTTTTTAAATTTAATTGAATTTTCAAAGATTTAAAATTGAGATTTTTGAAATTAATTGAAACTTTAAGTGTTTTGTAATTAAAATTTTAGATGATTTCACTAAAAATTTATTAGAAAATGCGGACAAAATACAATAATTTGAAAAATGGTTTCAGATAGTTGAATTTTCAAAGAATATTATTAAAATAGTTAAAAATAATTGAATTTCCTTAGAGTTATAATTGAAATTATTAAATTTCAAAAAAAAAAAAATTTCGATGTAAAATTTTAGAAATAATTAAATTTTAGATGCTTTTAAATTCAAATTATTGAAAATTCAATTAATTTTGAATTCCAATTTTTGAGAATAATGAAATTATATTTGATTTTAAATTGAAAATTTTTGGGAAATAATTGAATTTTAATTGAAATTTTGGATAATAATTTAATTTAAGTTCATTTTTGATTGAAAATTTGGTTAATTAATTTTGAATAGAAATTTTAGAAAATAATTGAATTTTATTTCATTTTAAATTGAAAACTTGGTAAATAATTACATTTTAAATTGAAAATTTTGGATAATTATTGGATTTTTAATTGATTTTGAATTAAAATTTTGGGTAATAATTGAATTTTAGTTTATTTTGAATTGAAATTTTTAAAAAATAATTAAATTTTATTGTGATATTTTTTTTTAAAAATTATAAACAATTGTTAAATTTCATAAAAATTTTAATTGAAAAATAATTTTGATATAATTGAATTTGTGATGTCTTTCATTAAAATTATTAAAAATAATTAATGTAGTGAAGAATCATTTTAGTTTAAAATTTGTTAAATAATTTAATTGAAGAAGATATGATGAAGATCTACATTTTATACTAGAAAAATGTATTTTATTTACATTTTTTTCAAATGTTAAAAAAAATGTCGCATTTTATTAAAAGAAGTCGATAAAAGTCTTATTTTTGAAAAAAGTCAGAAAAAGTCGTATAATCCGAGGCTTGTAAACATATAATTTTCATTATTATCATTTAATATGTAATAATATTCTAATAAATTAAATTATTATTGATAATATTAATCTTTAATTTCTTTATAACAAACAATTAAACACTCAATTTGGCGCGCTTGCGCGCGTTTAATTTTGCTAGTTACATATAATTAATTAAATATAATCGCATCAAAAAATTTATGGGTAAACCATTTGCCATAACCGCATAAACAGAAACTTAAAAACAGCGTCTGCTACATTTCAAATATCAGTGTCAAGAAAGTATGCGCAGAACACTGAAATTCGTCTGAATAGCAAAGCACGAACGATAAGCCACGCCTTCTAGTGGCTTGTTTGTCATGCCGCATCTTTACAACGGAGTTTCCCCTCCTGGTTCTAGTCTTCTTGAGCCAAAGTGAATGATCCGCGAATGTCCCATGAATTCGCGGCACATTCCATTTTGTCGATCCGCCAGAGGAAGTCAATTTCCAGAATAGCTTCGGAGAATAACGGAAACAAAGGAAAAGGGGATTGATTTAATCTCGAACTAAACTAGGCCTAATGTTACAATCAATTTACAGGCAGGATTAAAATGACGAAAGATCACTAGTGGCAGCGATTCGTTTTTTGACACAATCAAATGAAACGAGAAATGTTAATTTCAGTTCTTTTAATAAAATTCTTTTAATAAATTTTATTTTTGTTAGATTTGCACCGACAGTTTGTAAATGGGAAACTACGATAACTTTATTTGTTCTCTTCTTTTACTTTTGCATTACTTTTTTTTATTATTACAATATATGTTTCTTTCGAATGTTTAAATAATGTTTCATTATTGACTTCTCCTTCTATATCAAAATCACAGTTAAAAGTAAGGTTCCTAAATAAAATAATGTTTTGATTATTTTAAAAATCTAGTAAAATACTTTATTAAAATACTCTGGCTCCATCCGACGAGCAAATCCTATTGGCTAAAAAAACCACGAACAATACGTGTTCCTCAATGGAAAACTGATACTGGATTTCGGTGTCGATTTAGTATTGGTCATACTTAATTTTCAATGGTAATCCAGTACTTATATTCGGTATACTGGGATTACGATATCGGTTTCGTGTCGGTCGGCAAACCATACCTAGGTAGGATCCAATATAAAATTCCACATTGAATTTTTTATTTAAATAATATTTTTTTTTTAAATTTAACTTTGTAATATTTTAATTTAATAGTAGTAAACATTTTTACTTTATGGTGTAACGATAGAGTATCGTAGTATAGTGGCGCGGCGAATAGAGAGAAAGTAGACAGCGTAAGTAGTAGTGTCACTCTCTTCCCCTACCACTCGCTGTCACCTAGCTGCTAGTGATATACCTTTCGTCTCGCACCTTTTCCTCAGTCTTCTTCCGACTCGTCTAGAGGTGCTTGTCTGACGATTGGAAGCAACTCACTCCTGGCTACCTGGTGCTCAGTAGAGGTGCGTCTCTCTGAACACCGGAGCCTTCCTTACTTCCTAGAAGGAGCTGTACTTGTTCTTGTAGGCGCTCCTGCGGAATAGTAACACCCTTCGCCTTCCTTCCTCCTGGTGAACCGGACTTTCTATGGGCGCTTCTGTGGAAGACTGGTGATCCAGGTTACTCACTCACTTCCACCAGGACCGTCCTTGTCGAGTAGAGTCGCTCCTCTCTTGACAAAGATGATGCACTAGGTAATAATTCATTTTTGTATATTTTATTATTCTTTTATTTAAACAATATATTCTCTTTTGAAGGTTTAAATAAAGACTCGTCAATGACTACGCCTCTCCTCTACATCATAGTAAGAAATAGTTCCGAAATTAATCGAAACATGGATGGCGCTTCACGCCATCTACCTAGATTTAAAGTAACTAGTCAAAATAGGTTTCCATGTGGTATCCCATGTGGGCTTTTCCAGTAGTCTAATGTTTCCAGTATTGTGCATAAATAAATATTCACTGAAAAAAGGGTTTGGTATTGACAACCAAACGTTTGGTTGGTATTTAAGTAACCAATTTTTTTTTTGTTAAATCAACAAAATTTTAATTCTCTCAATCAAAATTTGTTGACACAACCAAAATTAGAAAAAAAGTATTTTTGTTGTTCTAACTAAAGTTTGATTGTGACAACCAAAATTTTGTTGATTCAACAAAAAAAATTTGGTTGCTTAAATACCAACCAAACGTTTGATTGTCAATACTAAACCCTTTTTTCAATGTTGAATAAATCTGCTTTAAGTAGTGGTAAATCTGCGATGTTTATAATTTAAAGTAATCGATTAGAAACAATGTTTGCTTTGCAACACATTTAAACTTATTGTTGATTAACGTTTTGTATATTAGGAGCTTGATGCAACATTAAATTAATTACATTTGCTTTAATATTAAAATTTTCCAAGTGGTAAAGAAATATTATTTGTCTTCGTAACACTTCTTAAAATAACTGTTTTAAAAGTCTTATTTTAAAAATGTTATTAGTCGTTTAAATTACATCTTTTTAAGAGACACGCGTGTTCTTATAATGTTTACAAGACACTTTCGAAGACAGGTATGTTTTTTGACTACCTATAAATATAGTATTGTTTTCTTCATCACCACGTTTTAAGAATATGTTTTTTTATACTAAAGGACTTGTATGTAATTTATGAAGTGTGAACGATTTTTTATTGTTCGGGTATATTTCCTCCCCCTAGGAATGGATTATCCCTATTGCAGGGTCCGATCGTGCCATGTACGCACGCTATGTTGGCCAAGTGGATTCCACCTAACGAGAGAAGTCGCATGGGAGCTTTCGTCTATGCTGGTATGTTTTTGTTATTATGAAATTTAGTTTATATTTAGAAAAATTAGTTTAAATTCTAGTACACAAAGATTTAGCGATGCCTTCTTCGAAAAATTGTGTTGCATTCTTTTATCTCCATAAAAACATTTAATGTTTTTTCATAGAAGGCATTGTTCAACAGCAGTGTACATAAACAGTCAGCTCTCAAAAATAGTAGAGTTCCTAAAATACAGTACTTCTTGAAATTCTCCTTTAACACATACCCAAGAAGCACGTAATATATCCTCAATATCAAGGTAATATTACACGTGAGATTCGTAATATAACGCTGTAATATTACAGTAATCTTACAGTGATCTTAAAATGTCCGCCTCAAGGTAATATTACCGGGAATATTATTGTAATATTAACGGTAATATTACAGTAATATTAACGGTAATATTACAGTAATATTAACGGTAATATTACAGACTGATTTGAGTTATTCATAAAGCATAAAAAACGTAAATATATTATAAGTCAATTTGGCTTGTTGGTAAAACTCTGGACTCGTGTGCTTTGAGTTCGGGGTTCGATTCCCTGGATGGGTAGATTTTTTTCGTAAAGAAATGTTCCCATAATATTACTGTAATATTCTCTTGTAATATTACCTTAATATTACGGTATAATATTACTGCAATATTACTGTAATATTACCTTAATATTACCTTAATATTAGCGCGTAATATTACAGTAACATTACCGGTAATATTACCTTGAGCCGGACATTTTAAGATCACTGTAAGATTACTGTAATATTACAACGTTATATTACGAATCTTACATGTAATATTACCTTGATATTGAGGTTATATTACGTGCTTCTTGGGTAATTCGTACGAGGAATTAAATTCATACAAATATTGTAACGCATCATCTTTAAAAATTCAAAATGAATTAAATTAAAATTTTAATTAAACAAATTAAGCGAGGGGGAATTTACTAGTTAAAAACGTGTACACTTGACTACAGGTATTACACCTCATATTACCCTTATTACTAAGTTATTACACGTTATTACAGAGTATTACATATTATTACAGAGATATTACAGATTTTTTTGCGTTATTACAGCACTGTAATAACGCATTATTACACGGTATTACACGGTATTACACAAGTATTACAGGAAGAGTGTACACTTGACTACCTGAGTAAATTCCCCCTCGAAATTAAGTAAAAATAATGAAGGGTACTTTGTCTATACAAATTAAAAAGAATAAAAAGTATCCGCGGGAGCCAGATCAAATGATGCCTTAATAAAAATAATTAAGAATAAATGCTCGTGGAGTGTCACATATGTGCAGTAACCTAGAAATTTTTTTTTTTAATCACACCCACACAGCACCAAAAATTCCCCGAAGATTCATTGAATGTTTAAAGGTTAACTTGAGAGTATTGAATTGCGGGGTTCAGAAAAGATTATTTAAAATAAAATAAATAAATTAAATGAATAAAACTTTTATAACGTCACAACATAAAGAAAAATTTTTCTTCGGAAAAATCCGGCTTGATTTTCAGACGTCAATCCGCGTTAAAATTTTGTCATCTCTTTAACTGTATGGGATATTCAAAAATGGTTGAAGTGGATGAATTTTTACAGCGTTCGAAATATTTCTTTATATTTCGGAAAGAAATTTGTATGGTTATTCGTTAAAGGTTCGGCTCGAACTTTGATTGAAGCTTAAAAAAAATATTCGTTAAATGTTCGCCCAGATAGCTGCGCTCTAAAATTATCTAACAATAAGCATAAAGTATTTTAAAGAATTACGAGAAACTTCCTCCTAAAATTAAATTAAAGTATGAAAGATTGTACGTATTAATAATAATAATGTAACTAAAATAATTATATTTTTTAATTTAAATCAGTTTAATAAATAAATTGACTTAATAAAGTTAAATTCAAAAAAGAAAAAAAATAATTTCTTAAATTTAGGGACTCATACTTTATCAAATAATTTTTTAGAGATTTAACATAACGAAATTAATTTTGAAAATAAATTTCGGGAAACTGGGGATCGAATGCGGGTTTGACAAACAAATCCAATCTAGCCAATCTATTCGCCTTCACATTTCCTTCTATATCTGAGTGTGATGGTATCCAGATGAAGTTTTCATCAATAATTTTATAGTTACGTGTACTATTAAGCTTGCAGCAACCTTGCATGGTAAGCTTCTTGAAAGATTGCAGTGTAAGGTTACTGCAAGATTGCACAGTAAGATTATCGCAAGATTGCTCAGTAAGCTTGTCGTTAGGTTGGTGCAAGGTTGCCAAATAACCTTGCCAATCAGCACAGAAGGTTGCAGGAAACTTGCAGGAAGCTTGACATGCAAGTTTATAGGGCCAAGATGGGCATAGTTTTAATTTTGTGCTCTAGAATACAAACGTTTTAGGATATTTAAAAATGATGCATACCGTATGAAAGTACAATAAATAAGGTATCCTTTGGCCATAACGAAAAAATTTTAATTTGCAAACAAACATTTTTTAAAGAATTTTTTTAAATTGTTGTAAATTTCGATTTGAAAAAAGTGGCTCCAAGATGGACACCTTCATAAAATTCACTAAAAAACATGTAAAATAAAAATAAAATATCAAGTAAGGATTTTTAAACCAATTTTCTGTTTCTTCATTATATTTTTTAAAGGTTCTAACATTTTAAAAAAATTTTAAATTAAATAATATTGTAAGAAAATTAATTTTAACGAGAATATTTTAATTAAATTAATTTATAATTTATGTAATAAGAGATTAGTTATTTTATAATTAATTAAAAGAAATTAACAATAAATCCGTCTCTAAGCTGAATTGTCGGAGTCACAATTCGGACATTTGTACCACACGGAGAAAAAAAGGAGAACCGCTTGATTTGTCAGTTGTGAGCTGTTCTCACTCGTCAGGGAGCAGCAGTTTCGCCGCGAAAGGAGAACTGTTAATCTTTTGAGGAGTAACCGTTCACCTTTTGTCGTTTCACCTTAAGGGAAGGTAACTCTCTTTCCTCAAAAAGCGTACTCGTTCACCCTTCGAGAAGCGAACGGCTCACTTTCCAAGCGGTCAAACAACTGACTCTCGTTTAAGAGAACTGCTTTTCGGCGGATTAAGCGGTTCTCCTTTTTTTTCTCCGTGCAGGGTCTGCAGATTTTAGCTATATAAGAAATTTCAAATAACGATCAGAACTGTCGGTAACTATCGACAGATTTCATTTCTCTATTGATTATAACATAATTTCGAAGTAGAAAAAGAAAAGATTTCAATTATGAGGCTTAGAGCATTATTAAGAAACTGTAACATTGAAAATAAATAAAGTTAAGAAATTAAGGTGTGATGTTCATCTTAGGGCCACCAGACTGTCCATCTTAGGACCAATGACCCCATTTTTTCGGCGCAAATAAAAATTATTTACAAACACAGTGTCAACCTAATCATTTTAGAATACTATTATACGATAAATAAATGAAGTTATTATGATATGCACCTATTCGAAATCAAAAATATAGATAATTTTACCGACTGAAATAAAAACTGTTACAAAACTTTTTAAAACGAAAAATCCACGTGATATGTGTTACAGGAAGAAAAATAATTCTTTCCGATCTGTGTTTATACAAAAAGCTTAATCTAAACAAACTAAATCAGTAAAAAAAAATCACGAGGCGATATATAGTTATGCGAAAATTTTATATCAAATGTCCATCTTAGGGCCCTCTCCCCTACTATGAATATGTTTGTTGGAAGTTTTTCTTACAAATCATATTTGAGTGAATAATTTTTGGGCAGTGAATTTTACTTTGTGTTTTTTATTCAATTTTTTCTAATCATGTGATTTTTTGCAAATTGTGTGTCGTTGCTGTAGATGTTTGACAATTCCCCCGCTCCCATCACAGGCTCTTTTGCCATATCCTGTAGCAGAAAATAGACATTTTTTTAACAGGCGATATTGACAACTCATGAAACTGGAAACGATTCTTAAACTGGCCCCATCTAATATAATTGTAATTTCAGATACCGATTCTAATTCTAACTGTTCCTTGCAGCTTTCAATTATGCGATTCATAGACAATAAGGCAAGAGCAGAATCATGTCTTGTATCGTCAGCAACAACAACAAACACTTTGTGTTTTTTTATTATTATAACAAACTGATGTAAAAATTGAAATCTGTTGAGTTTTCCATACCCGCTTTGTAGCTTATTTTTAATAATTACGTTTCAATTTTCTGCGAAGTCGCCGTGCAAAACCATAGTTTCACTGAATTCAATTTAGTTTCATTTTTAACTTTGAATATTTTTTCTCTCTGAATATCCTTAATGAATTTATGAACATTTACTTTAATTGTGCAAATCTCTAACTACTTGTTCGTTTTTCTAACTCGGCTTTATTCCACACAGTAAAAGTTACTTCATTGTTAGATGTTTCTTCAAAAATATTTAAGGAGGAATCGGACAGACAGTCTGAACAAAAGTTAGTCCAAATGCATTATTTCGATTTTTGAAATAGAAAACACATATTTTAGTGTATTTTTTCAGACGAAGTATGCAGACCCTGGCGGATTTGATTTACCTAATGTCCACCCAGCTGGGTGGATATTGGGTCAACATTAGGAATAACGTAAAAAAAATTGATAAATAAGCTAAAATTGTTCAAAAAACATTTTGTAATTGAGAGATGGTCTTCTTAACCCCTTGGGTGTCGATGACGTGTATACACGTCATGGAATAGGTGGGCTCAAAGTGTCGATGACGTGTATGCACGCACATAAATTTTGAGCCCAATAATAAGACGGAATTGGCCTAAAATTTGTTACTCGGGGGTTTTTGGGGTCGCTGCTTCCGAATTTGATGTCAGATTTACAAAATTCAAAATGGCGGATCCAATATGCCCCCACAGCAGCCAATCTTTACTAAAAATTTCGTAAAGATTTCCTTGAAATTTTGAGGATATTTAATTGCAAAGTTTAATAAAAATTGCATAAAGATTTAAAT